ATCGAGTCCAGTGAAACCTGCTTCCGAGTCGAGTCGAATCGAGTCCAATGAAATGAACTTCCGGGTCGAGTCGAGTAGAGTTTGATTCGAGAGACTCGACTTTTTAGAATTTTGTTTTGTGATTCTTTTTGTTCTTTCTCGGCAAAAATGTTCGTTTGTTTTGGCTTTATTAAAACAGCACAATATTAGATCATCACGATGAATTTGTCAGACAGTCAGTGTCAATGGTGAAACAACAATGAACCGGCAGCGTTGAATGGACTGAAATAAATAGCGAACAATAATTTTCATTGTATTCACTGTATTATTGTCTATACATATCTTAATAGACGATATTGTATTAATCAATGGTGAGCCTATATAAACAATCGATGTATAGCGTATGGCAGAATTATTCTAATTTTTTTCATCTCACGGACTATCGCTCATTGAACATCTTTTAACAAAAAAACTACAATCATCCTTGTTTTGAAAATGTCAATCGATCTAACCAACGACGATTCGACACAACGTTCGTCTGAAGCGTTCTCGTCTGTTTTACGTCCTACGGTGGTATCACCTTCAGTTGCTCGTGAGACCTACACATCTGCCAGCATCAAACAACTGCTTATTCGCGACAAGAACCACTACAAGGTTTTGCCGAACCCCAATAAACGTGCAACTGCGGCCTGCTGGGCTAAATTTGGTTTCCCAGGTGTCAGAAAAGATAATGAAGAAAATGGAGAATTTAGCATTATCAGGGGTTTTGCAAGTTGCAACGTCTGTTTCGATACTTATCTTTTCAACGATTCTAGCACTACTAATTTAAACAACCATCGATGCTCACTGGATGAGCGACAAAGTCGACTCTCATTTAATAGTTCATCAAGTCCTGTTCGTAATGCCATTGGTGCCAAAATAATTTCCAAGAAGAAAGACAATTTAAAAAAATTTATAAACACTTTTTGTTTGAATAAATACTTGGTTATGCGATCCGAGTCGAGTCGAGTCAAGTCGAGTGAATACCTGTGCCGAGTCGAGTCGAGTCGAGTTAGGATTTTTTCAAATGTCAGTCGAGTCGAGTCGAATCGGATTTTTTTGACTCGTTTCGGTCTCTGTTAGCTATATTTCAATATCAATTCAAATCCTTTTGGGATTTTTATTACATCATTGTCTAATATTTATAGACAAAAGATTATTGAAATTCAAGAGAGACATTTAGAAAGGCTATCTCGGCAGTTGCCAAGGTTAGCAGTAGAAACCGGTTATAAGAAAATTGACATAAAATTTCTAGTTGTTATTTTCTTTGAAAAAAAAATGAGTTCGAAACAATGTCAAAAATTGTAAAACGAATAAGACTGAATATAGATAAAAAAAAGTGATATTAACTAGTGATAACAGTTTACTATCAAACAACAGATAGAATAAGAGATAAATTAGCTATTAGTAAATATATTCTAATGTGACGATAAGTTATCTTGAATAATATGTACTACGATCAACATAAATCTGTTTTCCAATCCACATAGTTTTTGCAAATATTTGTCTAGAATTTATCAAGAAAACAACAATTGAATATAGAGGGTGTGGGTGTGGATTAGAAGTAGGACTACATCCACACCTACACACTGCAGACTCTGATAAACCCTACTAGTCTCTACTAGCCCCTGGTAGACTCTGGTAGATCCTACTAGCCACTACTAGATTCTGCTGGTCCTATAGTGTTTTTTTAATGTTATTGAATTATTTTGTAATTCATATACGTCATTCAGTGTATAAATCTAATTGAAGACCGATGAAAACAACATCTTCCCGGTGCTTTACACCACAACACGGTAAATCACTTTTTTCTACTCATCTCTCTCATTGCCATCTGCAATTTTTTTTCTGTTCTTCTTATCCTCAAATATTGACACTGAATTCGTCGCAGGATAAGATTAATCGACATAGAAAAAGAACGAAAGTAGACAGTAACGAGACGATATCTTTCGTGTTCTGTTCGTGATTTATGCAGCATAATCTTTTGTTGTAGTTAAATCCACTCGAGCCCATGATTACAGCTAAAAGAATTATTTAATGTGAAACAGAATCGAAGCATGGTGTGCTCGTTGTTGATGGTTGTATTTGCTCTTATCTTTACTACAAATGGTGCAACTTGTCCAAATCGACAATCAATAGAAGAATTTCTCAAGCAAGTTCATATTCCAGGCGCTGTAATCGTCGTAGTCAATGCTACTCATACACTCTACGAACAAGCCTTCGGTTACCAGTCCTTATTAACGAAGCAGCCTATGAATGCTGAAAGATCGATTTTTCCTCTTGGCTCAATCTCGAAAACATTCATTGCTATTGCTGTCATGCAGCTTGTCGAACAAGAACTTGCCGATCTTGATACAGATGTTAACCAGTACTTAGCGGAACCTCAGAGACGCATATATCATCCACACTATCCTTCGCATGCGATCACTCTACGCAAATTACTCTCGCATTCAGCTTCGATTGATGTCAGGCCTGACGTACAAAATACCAATTTACGACCAGATGATGATGCGTACAATGAATCGTTGGCTGATGGGTGCTTCAGATATCTGAATCCAAACCCATCAAATTGGATACCGAAACCACCAGGCAGTGTAATATGGTATGCAAATCTTGGTGCAGCACTAGCTGCACTGGTTGTTGAACGAGTAGCAAATATGTCCTATATAGACTACATCGAAGAAAGAATTCTGAAACCATTAGGTGTTGATATCAGCAAAACCGGTGTGCGTCTAGCAGACTTTGAAAATACAGAAGATCTTGTCAAGCATTATGTTTATGCCTTCAATACATCTTTCCTCGAACAGTGGAAAAAATTTATTCCACATTTGAATATCACACAGATTGCGGTAAACTCACTAATATAACTATTAAAGTTGTTGTCGATCATATTCCTTGTAGGACAATCTTCCTACGTGATTATACATTCCACACTTCGGCTTCAGTGTTTATCCTTCTGGTCTCTTGCGCATGTCAGCTCGTACTCTATCTGTGTACCTTCAGATGTTCCTCAACAATGGATCTTCAATTCTTCGTCCTCGATCCATTGCGGAAATAGAAATAATCGTTGGTGGCGGTCTCATACCATATTATAACCAAACTATGGGCGGTAATTCTACGGGACAACATGCACCGTATCAATTTGGTCTCAGTTGGTATTGGGATACCTTGAGCGATGGTCGTCGATATATTGGTCACGGCGGTTCGGTTCCAGGCATAATAAATTTAATGTTGATCAATGAAAAGCACAATGTGGGTGTGATTGTTCTCTCGAATGGCGATGCCACTATAGGGACTAATTTGGCGCAAGAGGTTGTTAACGCATTGGAAAATATTCATATATCACTTTTTCAATGTTTCGACACCGATGTAGTTCACGCATCTGCTGTTGATACAAAGGGAACTTTCATTGGAATTTTTTCTGCTATTCTTGTTCTTTATACCAGTTTTGAATAGTCTAAATATCGATTTTTCTATTCTCTTTTATCCAAAAGTGAAATTCTTGACAAAATTAGATGGGAGAAACTCTTTTGACAGTTTTTTAGATTCAAACTGATGCTTTTCTTTCTATTTTTGTATTCGAAATCATTGTCACGTGAGGCGAAGAGCTTCTCTCATCCAACTTTGAAAAATTTCATTTTTAAACAAATATTCAGTCATTTTGCTCCATCCGATGCTTCAATTTGTTTTCCTTCTTCATTCACCGATTTTGTTTGAGAGAATAGATTAATTTGTTTGAAAATTTCGACAAAATTCAGGTTGAAATCTTCTTGAGACAAGCCTTGACTTGATCAGCAATAAAATGAACAAAAAGAAATGTTTTTCATTGCAATATTGTGGACAAGAGTCTGTTGTAGATTGAATTGTTCATCGCCTGCAGATTTATTTCATTTAACTTTCTGACCACATCTATGTAATCAATTCAGTTTGCTCGTCCATATGACGTCCGAGAAGAATTTTTAGTGGGGGTGGGTGTGAGTGTGGACATATATTTTCTTTACACCCACACCCTCAAGCTAACAAACGTATAATGAAAGTATAACTTACAGTAGAAGATGAAGTAGCTATTCCATTCTCACTATAGTTCTTTTCAGTAACACGCTGAAAGAGAAAGCATTTCACATTATTTCTCTTTTTCATGATAACGAGTAAAAAACAAAAACAATCACGTACATAGGGAAAGAATCGATACTTCTTTCAACTGTAATGAAAGTAATGCTGAGCATCTAACAATATAATGGTTTTCTTCATTGTTACTTCCTTAAAAATATCTAAACCGAACAAAAACTGTTTCATCTTTTTGAAAACGGTTCTATATTTCCTTGTGCTTCTATAATTCTTTGTACTTCGGAAGTACGCAAGAATACTTCTTTCATCTTACTATAATCTCATTTATTAGGCGATATGACACAACTTTAATTGGCTGTTTCTTTACTTGCTCTTTCGCCATATGTTCTGTTTTCACTCGTTAAAATGAGCAAATCTTCTACCCATCCATCTTTTCTTGAAAGTTTGGAGTTTTCCATACAAATGCTCCATCGCGCGAAACATATCACGTATCACTGACATAGATCTTTTCTTTCGATGATATGCACTGTGTTTCATCAGATAAAACATTTTTCAGTTTCTTTCATTCCTTCCAACAAAAGTTTCATGCAACTCTCGAAGTATTGTTCGAGGAACACCCGGGGTTACTTGTGCATCGAGTAATTGGAATCTCGTTTGATCAATAACTTTATCGGATAGATATATTTGTACATTGCAAACTAAAATATTGAGACGCTATCAATCGAGAAAAAGAAAAATCAATATGTAATAATCAGATCCTCGATCAAACAGCATCTAAACAACATGAAAAGAAACAAATCAATTTAATGACATTACGCAGAGAAAAAAGTTTCCTCATAAAAAGATAAGCGAAATGTGCTTGTAAATATGATTTATTTGTTGAATAAGATATCATATATTTATCGATCATACTGAGCTATCGATACAAAGTATGACCTTAAGAATTTGTCAGTATTGACGAACTACGTGAGTATTATGAGTCAATAGAATCAAATTGGAATTTACCACTGATTAAATGGTGGACATTTTTGTAAAAATCAAAGAACGATTACGACATATTCAACTCATATCAGATATTTGTTTTTTGCCCAATAAAATAGTGAAATATTGAATAGTTTTGCGAGACGGAATAAAGTAAAGATTCCAAGTTTCATATTTTCGTACTGGATTTGAGCAACTTAACGACCGAAAATGTTCCAGCTAGAACACGCAAACATTCGATTTTACCAAATCTGATTAAAAAAAACTTGACAAGTAACGATAATTTCGTAGTCATCAGAAACTTTTTTCTTTGGATCATTTATTAGATAGTCCTAAGAACTTTCGGTTTTGGTTTTTAGATAGAAGACACTCTAAACGTGGAAGAAAAATGGGCAATTGCAGTATTGAAGGGTATGGGTGGGTGGGGATAATGCATGAAGAGAGAAGATTAACGAACATCCACTCCCTCAAGGATGAATGTGAATGATTTTCCATGTAAAAATCATTCAATTTATTGAATCAAATACTATAGTAATTATTTTCTGTTTATATTTTAGGTTGGCTTCAATGATAGAAAAGTAAACCATTCAACTCAATTCAAATTAAGACAAAAAAATGTAGGTATCAGTTTTAAATTTTTTTACTATTACATAAAGAGTAGTAAGACCTTCCGTTATTTTTTTTTCTTTTTCTTTTAGCCATCAATATCAACGCATCGCATCATTATCCAACATCAATGAGTGAGTGATTTTTTTTCTTAAGTTGAGGTGAGAGGAGTTAGAGAGGGGGGAGTGAGTTATGCTAGTTGAGGGTTAAGATTTCACGTTACATGAAGGACTTCCGGGTAGTCCTTAAAAGCCTGCCCAAGAACTGTTTTGGTGTCCATGGCACATGACCAGATTTCTCAGACTCATTGGCACATGGCTATCAGCGAAGGTGGGTGTGAATGAGAATTATGCCGGCCACGGTTCCACCAGGATGGTTTCTGGTCGCGCACGCATGCGCGAGAATTGAATAGCTTGCAGGGTGTGGGTGGGTGTGGGTGTGAGTGTGGGTGGGTGTGAGTGTGGGTGTGGGTGGGTGTGGGTGTGAGTGTGGGTGGGTGTAAGTGTGGGTGTGAGTGTGGGTGTGGGTGGGTGTGGGTGTGGGTGTGGGTGTGGGTGTGGGTGTGGGTGTGGGTGTGGGTGTGGGTGTAGGCGTGGGTGTGGGTGTGGGTGTATGAATGAAGATATGATCTACACCCACATCCACACACCCACACCCACACCCACACCCACACCCAAACCCACCCCCACCCAC